TTCTCCTTCATTATAGACCTAAAACAAATGCAGCAATATTACTGGACATGGGCCACACAGTAAGGGGAGAATGTGCACGGGAGGAATAGGGAAAGGAAAGGGAAGCTAAAACTTGAATGTGGTTGATGTGCTCACTGTAGAGGAGTGAATATAGTAATCTGAAACTGGCAGAGGCCACCATGGGAAGGGGACCGGGAAGTAGTGAAGAGGTCTGGTAGAGATGAACCAATGTGGAGTGCAATACACAGGTGCATGGAAGCAACGCTAGGAATCTCTCTGTATAGCTATCTTTATCTCAAACTAGCAAAAACGCCATGTCTTTCTTATTATCTCTTATGTTTTGTCTTCAACAAAATTGGAGAACAAGAGGGCAGAACAGGTTCTGCCCAGAAGTGGAGAGGTGTGTGTGTGGGGAAGTGGCTCAAGCAATATATATACATGTGAATAAATGTAAAAATGATCAAACAAACAAACAAACAAACAAAAAGGTCAAATGTGGTCCAAGCTGGCAGCTGGGCTGGATGGGCCTGGGCCAGCACAGTATGGCCACTCAGGGTGAGCCCTGGCCTGAACAGCAAGGTAAGGGAGTGGTCACAGCAGCACCATTCACAAGAGCCAAAAGGTGGAAGTACCCATGTCTGTAGACGCTGCCTGGAGAACAGAATGTGGTATGTCCACACAGTGGAGTACCATTTAGCCTTGAAAGGAAGGAAATTCTGACAACTGCTACAGGATGGATGAGTCTTGAGGATGTTATGCCGAGTGAAAGATGCCAGTCAGTCCCCAAAAAAGACACTACAACATCTGTAGGATTCCACTTAGAGGAAGTGCCTAGAGTCACCAAGTTCATAGGGAGAAATTGTGGGCACCTGGGGCTGCGGGAGGGGAATGGGACTTGGTGTTTAGGGGTGCATTGTGCTTTTGCCAGATGAAGGGTTCTGGAGCTGGATGGTGGGGATGGGTGACTTCATTATGAATGAATGTAGTGTCACTACATTAACCTTAAAAATGGTTAAAATGGTAAATTTTCACTATGTGTATCTCACCACAGTTTAGGGGGAAAAAGAACAAAAACTGCTGAAAAAAAAGTAAAAAAAAAAGCGATTATATGTCCAACTCAAATACCTTTCTGAACAATTTCATAAAGCATAGTGCTAGGGGTTGAAACTCAACATGTTCCAAAATGCTCCCAACTCTCGCCAGTAGCAAACACACACGCACGCGTGCACACTCGTGCACACACACACACACGCACGCGTGCACCCCCCCACTCTCCTGCTGCCTCTTATCTCTGTCCACAGCGTAACAGAAGTAATATGCCATTAAGAAAGAAAGTTACTCAACATTTCCTAGAAATGGTGACAGCTGGTGGAGTGGCTCAAGTGGTGGAGTGCCTGCCTAGCAAGTGTGAGGTCCTGAGTTCAAACCTCAGTACCACCACCAAAAAAAAAAAAAAAAAGAAAGAAAGAAATGGTGTCAGATATTTGGGGAAAGAATTGGAAGAGTCTGGTTTTCCCCCCCCTGGGAAAACACTGATTCAGCAGAGACAAAAGCCAAGACCTACCCTTAGGGACACAAACAAGTAAATAAAACCAACCGTGCTCCTTTTGGAGAGTTAGAGTGACAAGGACAGTAAACAGAGTGAGGGACATTGTGATTGTTTAATAATCCCACCAGATTAGTGGTTCTCAAATTAGTACCCTGACCGCCTCCCTATCTACTTCCTCCCTCCCACTCTCCATGCAAGAGGAGCAGGGCTTTAGGCCTCAGTTCCAGTCCCCTCTGCACACTGTTGAGTCTCTCCAGAAGGGACAGGGGCCCAGAGATCCTTGGATGATGCTGTTTGAGTTTCCTGATGTCAGGGGCCAGTCTGTTTTCAGGATTTACCTGCACCTGCCCTGCCCCCTACTGGATAAGGAGCTGTCCTGCAGCCACTGCAAACTCCCTCCTGCAGCCTGATTCTCACGTGCCTCATTTCTATCTTCAGACCCCAGAAAGAACCTTCTCTTCCCTTGGGTGACGGTCCAAAGGAGAAACGGTCATTCTCCGTCACTGGGACTAATACCGTAGGGCACTTCAGTTGTGTGTGTGTGTGTGTGTGCAGATTAGGATTTGAACCCAGTGTCTTATACATGCTGGGCAAGGGCTCTACCACTTGAACCATACTTCCGGCCTTTTGCTTTTGGTTTGTTTTTGAGACAGAGTCTCACTTCTGTCTTCTGGGCTGACCTCAAACTCCAATCCTCCTGCCTCTGCCTCCAGAGTAGCTGGGATCACAGTTGTGCACCACCACGTGACTTAGATGTTTTTTGCAAAATTGTTTTCAACCTCTAAGCACGAAAAGTTATCTCCTTAGAAAGGCACTTCCCTGGGTGTGATTAAGACATTCTGGGTTCCAGTGATACAGTGCCTACACAGCAAACTCCCGCCCTGGGTTCAACACTTGGTGCCACGAGACAAATGAACGACAAGGCTCTCTTGGAGCCCCCAGGGGTGCTTGTAGCATACTAACCAGTTTTATCCCCAAACTGGTTTGGACTAAGTCGCCATCTTGCCTTCTCGTCTAGCAGCCTGTCTTGCTCTTGGGGGAATTATTGTTATTTTCCATCATGTCCTTGCCTTCCTGTGATGCTCCATGTCCTGGCAAGTATCTATTTCATTCAATTCCTTTGCTTTTCTATCCACCTGGCATTTCTGATGGAGTGCCTGGTTTCTGTCGGGTAGGTCAGTCCCTGGCCAGTCTGGTAGCCAATTACTTGACAGACAGGCAGTGTGCATGGCACAGTGCTACCTCCTGAGAATACAGCCAAGCCCAGCAGAACTGTGGAGCTTCTCAGACAACGCCACGGACATGTATCACACTGAGCATCTTCCATGATCAATGAGAAATCAGCATGGGGTGGGAGCTGGTCTTGTGGTCCTGTGGGGCCTTGCAGGCCACACGACAGAGAAGCTAGCAAGAGCTTCAGGCAAAGCTTGATGTATGATTTGTGGTATTTTTTTACTTTTTTTTTTGAGACAGGGTCTTGCTATGTAGCCTAGACTGGACTTGAACTCACAACCCTCCTGCCTCAGCCCCCCTAGTCTGGAATTAGGGTTTCTGAAGCCCCCCAGTGGCTATGTGCTATGTGGAGAGCAGGGAAGGGGAAGCAGAAGGCCACCTCAGCTGCCTAGCTGACCTGTAAGGCTGGGACGGATAGAGTAGTGACAGGGGTGGACACAGGTGGAGTACCAGGATACACTTTTGGGTCAGTAAGTTGGATGTTACCTCTATCAACAGACCGTTCTGAGCCAAAGCCCTCATAAAATACTGACTGGAGCAGGGAGGGCCATGAGAAGTTTCTGCTCCAGAGAGTAGGTGAGGAGGCAGATAAGATCTGCAAGCAAGGCTTGCGTTCCTCCTGACCAGCTGGTCTCGATGACCTGCATTCCCTGTCTGGAACTCTTGCATCTTACTTGAGCAGCAAGAAAAGAATCCTTAGGAATGAATACTGTTTAGCCGAGCTAGCTTGAAACTTTAAATGCCAGACCATTATTCGTTTTTTTCCCTAGTTATGTCTCTTATGTTTCAAGAAATACTTGTTTTTATAAATAAAGTTTTATTGGCACACAGCCATGCAGTGGTTTACATACTATCACCTTTTCTTTGGTGGGACTGGATTTTGAAATCAGGATTCTGCACTAGCAAAGAAAAGCAGGTGCTCTACTGCTCACACCTCCCCTCCGTTTTGCTCTGGTTATTTTGGAGATGGGGGTCTTGAGAACGATTTCCCTGGGTTGGCCTCAAACCTTGATCCTCCCGATCTCAGCCTCCTAAGTAGCTAGGATTATAGGAGTGAGCCATCAGCGCTGGGCTCTATGACTGTTTTTGCACTCCAAGGATAGGTGAAGTTGTGAGACCATATAGCAGACTCTAATAAAATATCTGCTGTGTGGCCTCTGGGAATGTTGTTGACCCCTGCCCTACACAGGTCAGCCAGTGCACACCATGCTGTCTGGCTCCAGTGTCTGATTATGGCCTAGGACTCCTGTCCTGAACATTCTAGCTTGGGAGGAGGGACAAAGTGTTTACAAGCTCATCAGTACCCAGTGCTTCATGTGCATCTACCACCTCCTGGAGGCCAGAGGCTGCCCCTGACTGAAGGCACATCCCACCGATTCCCGAAGCTCTCAGCAGTCACTGGACTCTTGCAAGTGCAGTCACTGACCGACTCCAGGGTGACTGGTGGGTGCCTCCCCCAGCTTTATTAGACCCCATCCCTGTCTATACTCTAGGAAGCGGGGAAGCTCCAGGCCCCAGCAGCATAGATGGTCTACAATAACAAGTGGGGTCACTTGTCATTGACTTAGGAAAAGGCAGAAGACAGACCCAGAGGGTCCTCTTAGTTCTTCATCTGGTCACAGTTGGGAGGAAGAGGTTGTGAGGAGGCCTGCAGGTGGCAGTGCCAAGGAGCTGGGGTAAGCTCAGTTCCACCAAGCTCCATTCTTTTGTTTCTGAGATAACATCTTCCTGTGGAACCCAGGCTGGCCGTGATGAGACTCTCCTGCCTCAGTCTCTTTAGTACTGGGATTACAGCCTATACTATGCAACCAGCTTCAAACCTCCATACCCCATAAGAAGGTCCTGAACAAATCTTTTGTTTAGAAATCCCAGAAACGGAGGCACCCTCTCTTGGGACCCCTCCCAGCTCTCTCTTTGCTTTTCTTTTTTCTTTTTTGTGGTACTGGTGCTCAAACTCAGGGCCTACACCTTGAACCACTTCACCAGCCCTTTTTTGTCTTGGGGTTTTTGGAGACAGGGTCTCACAAACTATTTGCCTGGGCTGGCCCTGAACCATGATTCTCCTGATTTCTGCTTCCTGAGTAGCTTGGATTATAGACATGAGCCACCAGAGCCCAGCTCTTTGCTACTTTTCTTTTCAAAAAACTCTCCCGCTATACTAAAAAAAAAAAGGGAAAGAAATCAAAGAAACACTTATTAACTAGAATTTCAATTTCAGAACCCAAGGCTCCTTAAGAGACAGACTGCACATTAATCACATGTTATCATCTGAACCAGGACTTGACTTCTACATGTATTGCCAGAAATTTTTATACAATTAGCTTTAAAAACCAATTTTATACAATTAAGCTAAGCACCGATCTTATTATCATACATTTTTCTCAACCTAATTTAGTTTCGTAAGTAAATACCTAAGTATTAATCAACAAACTTTTATAGCATGCTTCCTATGCTTTCTGGAACTTGCGGTTTCTCTTATGTAGATATTAACTCTTGGTCTCACCAGCAATAACAAAAAACCGTGCCTGGGGGTCGTTTGTTCTTGCATTCTACATTCAGGCATTCATTGACTTATAATCTGTGAACCAAAGAAAAAGCTAGGGTGAAATGACATCATCACGTATTGCACAACACACATAAATGGGGATACATCTATCAACCTGAGAGATGTGCTCTCACACCCAGTAATGGGACAAGAACCACCTCAGAGGAGTGCTTATTTGAGGTTATTATCTAGGAGGGCCACCTTGCAAAACATACAATTTAGATCAAAGCCTGTTTTATCTGCAAGGGACCTTTAAGGTTTCCATGTTAACAGAGTGAAAAAACAAAATTCGAACACCATTTGCTCACACAAATGATTTACCTGTTTCTAGAAAGAAGTGTACAATGCTGAAACCGTAGTTAAGGCCAAGCCGCTTTTATCCCACTCCTAAAACTGTATGGGGAGCATGCTTAAACAAACCGGGTAATAAGTAAAACACTTTTCAGAAGTAAAGCTTTTCCAATAGAATTAAAAATGTTACTTAACACTTTTAAGTTATTAACCAAACACCGACAAGCAACATATAAACACACTTGTTACGGATAATCTAACACCGTGAGGTCACACTTCCAAATACGACTTCAGAATTTGTTGCAAAAAGACAACACTTGTCATTTACAACCCAGGCTATGCAAAGATGAACGGAACGCCTCGCAATGAACCTTCCACCCTAAACGCAGGCTGCGGAGAACGGAATCCCCGTCGGGACCGAATGCCAAGGCTTTAGTGGCTCGGTGGCTGTTCTCACGATTCTATAAATACGTAAGTCTTCAGAAGGTAATGCTGTTAGTGGAGCAGTAAAATCCAGAAGAACGACAGTTCTGCGTCAGTGCGTTCGCTTCGCCCGCCGCCCCCGCCGCTTTCAGACCCGAGAGGGAAGGCGTGGAGTTACCCTGGGCGCAGCTCTAGGCCCAGGACTCCGCCATCGCGAGGCCTTGGCCAGCGGGGTCAGGCCGTGTCGCCGCCACCCGGGAAGTGGTCCTCGGTCCGGAAGAGGACGGGCGGCTGGAAGCCGAGGGGCCGGGCCGGGGCCGCGCGGGTGAACAGGGAGGGCGCGGCGAGGGTGTGCAGCAGCTTTCTGAAGGCCCTGGGGAAGGTCCCCAGCTCGGCTTCCGCCCTGGCCACCTGCTCCTCCATCCTGGCCACGCTGCCGCCGATCATCCTCACGAAGGCCTCGAGCTTGTCGATCTTGCTGTAGACGCGCCTCATCTCCGCGGCTTTCGCGTGGATGCGGGGCACGCCCTCGCTGACCACGTGGGTCGAGTCACCGCGAATCATGTCCAGCATGCCCACGAACTCGTCCACTCGGGTGAGCAGGTCTTCGAGGCTGGCATCGAGGGCCTCCACCTCGGGCCGCGCCCCGGCCCCGGGCAGCAAGCAGGCGGCGTAGCCCGCGGCGGCGCGGCGCAGCAACGACAGGTCCCGGCTGGGCACGCCGTCCTCGGGGCCCTCGTCCTCCCACGGCCCCGAGGCGCTACTGTGGCTCTGGGACACATGGCCGCTGTCCCCGCTCCAGACGGCGCCCTGCGGTTCGGCCTCGTCCGCCGCCGCCTCCACCGCCGGGGCCTCGCGCGAGGGCTCTCTGCCCCCGGGGCTCCCCTCCATGGCCCGCAACGGCCGCTTCCGGTGCCGGCGCGACGTGGTGACGTCCGCGCCCGGCCGTGCGCGCGCCGCTGCTTCCGGTGCCGGTGCTGTCGCGTCCCGCCCACGCCCGGCCGCGCGCGCCAGTGCTTGTGCCCGCGCATCCGGTCTGTCCCCCGCGGCCGTGCGTGCACGTATCCGCACGTGCACGCGCACGCACACCTGTTTCCGGTCTCCGGGCGCGCTCTAGCTCACGCTCAGAACCCTAAGGAAAAAAAAAAAAAGAAAAAAATATAGTGCACTATATATACTATATATAGTATATATACTTTATATATATATATATAAAATATATATAGTGCACTGAAAGTGTGCACTGCTTCAGGAGCCATGAGGCTCGGGAAGGAGGTCTCCAGAAGGGAGGAGGGTTCTCCCTGGCTCTTGGGTACCAATGTCGCCAGGCTGTCGTAAAAAAGAGTTTAGCATCACGGAAGAGACCTTTGCTAATAGAGGATAGCAAAGACACGGGTGCAGGCACATCTGATGACAGGTGCATGGAGCGCTCTAACATCAGGGGTAGTTATGGGGGAAAAGTGGGTTGGGGTTTTGTCTTAACTTCACGTTGGGATCAGTGCTTCCCTTTGTTCTGGTGCAGCCAATCATTCTTAGTGTTACACTTGGGCCCCAGAGATACCAAGGTTGGACTGTTTATTGAATTTGGATCATTATGATGTAGATGTCTTTTGCATCCCTTTAAATAAAGGATGGGTTCTGCCAGAAGTTCCCTTCAAGACAAGTTCCCATCCGTGAGATAAATGTTTTTCTTTACAAAAACTTTTTTGTAATTAAAGGAGTCATTTTCTTAAATGTTTTGTTCCCTGGACAAGTGTCTTTCCTTAAGATATCCTTGCTCAGTCCCCACCTCCTAGTAATCATTTGAGCTAGCGGGCAAGGTCAGAGGGAAAAAGCTGTCTCCTTTTTTTAAAACTACATGTTGCAGCTTAGTGAGGGAATAGGAAGCTTAAAGCAAAGAGAGTAGTGTTTGTGTGCTTTTAATCAAGCTATTCATTAATAATGTGCATCTCCGAATTCCTGGCTCCTCTTTCCCATGCCTCATTTTCCCTGATTGATCCTGCTTCATGTACGTTGATGCCCTCTGACGTACCCATACACCCCTGTAATCTCTGTCCAGGCCAGCACCATGCAGAGCTCCCTCCTTCCCCTCCTCTCCTCTTGGTGCTGATAGTAAAATAAAAGACAAGCAAAACCAAGGTCTGCTAAACACAGACTTTGATGACCAGATGACAGAGTTCTCAGCTGCTTCAGACTGCAAATGATGTAAAATTAAATAATAGCTCTAAGCGGGCTGTTGATCGTCCATGCCTGTAATCCTAGCTACGTGGGAGGTTGAGATCAGGAGGACCATGGTTCTAGGCCAGCCAAGGCAAAAAAAGTTTGAGACCCCCATCTCAACAGAAAAAAGCTGGGTGTAGTTGGGCGCAGCTGATATCTCAGTAACAGTGGGCAGCCTAAAATAGGATTGTGGTTCAGACTTGCCTGGGCAAAAAGCAAAACCTTATTTCCAAAATAACCAGAGCAAAAAGGCTTGAGGTGTGACACAAGTGTTAGAGCATCTGCCTAGCAAGTGTGAAGCCCTGAGTTAAAAAAAAAAAAAACCCAAAACCAAAAAAACAGCTCCAAGCAAAGATTATGTATAATGTACTGCTAGAAAAAAAGAAAACAATAAATTCTTTAAAATCTGAGAGACATCAAAGGCAGTGTCTCTGCGTACCATACAGACCAACTGCTCTTCACAGGGACTAAGCAGGTTCCTCACAAATCCTCTCAATTATAGGGTCTCTAGGAAGCTTCAGGGTTTATTCTTCAGCATTATCGGCAGAAGCCCAAGACAGAGATGGCTTTATCGCGAAGGGATTTGTAAGTTGAACTTTTGTCTAATGGAATGAACTCCGATGAACTTCACCTGTGAAGTTTGTAAAACGGTATTAGTACTAATAACACTGCAGCAAGGACTGAACGGAACCGAGATGGTACACAATGAAAGGAGTTTGGACCCCTCCCTCAAACTCCTGCAGAAGTAGACTGAGGAAACAACTCATGGCAATCTCTTGTCACCTTTCATGAAAAAGGATGTAGGAGCCAACGTGCAAAACCAGGGGCTGAAGGTCATGGAGAATTATAGCTAAGCCTTGAGACTGGATTGCAGAAGTCCTGTGGACCAATGGCTAAGTTTTACCTCCCATTTCTCCATGTTTTGGACAAGAATGTCTACAATGGTTATCTCCACCTGCCCACAATTGTACATTAGACGTGTGGGGCAACAAGCTTGTCTCTGTACTTTGAAAGGTTGACAGATCAAGAAGGAGGTGGGCTGAAGAGGTGTACTCAGGGAAGCTCGAACTCAAGGTTTCATGCTTGTAAAGCAGGCACTCTACTCCTTGAGCCACACCTCCAGTCTACTTTGCCCTGGTTATTTTGGAGACTGGCTTTTTTGGACTATTTGGCCAGGTTAGCCTTGAACTGTGATCCTCCTGATCTCAGCCTGCCAAGTAGCTAGGATTACAGGCATCTCCTGGTTCCTTGATCATGGACTTCTAGCCTCCAGAACTGTGGGAAAATAAACGTCTGTTTGGGGCATTCGTCTGTGGTGTGCTGTGGAGACATCCATCAAAAACGTGAGAATTCCAGCTGTTCCACGTTCTCCCCAGCACTTGGTGTTGCCAGTATTTTACATCGCAGCCATCCTAGCGGATGTGCGGTGCTCTCATTGTGGTTTTCACGCTCAACAGCATTTCCTGGAGTCCGGAAGGTGAGCGCTGTCCTCGCTGGTCTTTCGTGAGGCGTCAGCTCGAGTCTTTGGGGGCGTTATGAAATTGCTTATCGAGCTGAGGGAGTTCCGTACGCCCTGAATGAGTCCTCTTGTCTTTTCCAGTGAAGCTGTCTTCTTCCACTGCTATTGGTATCGCTTGATAAACACCTGCCGTGTTTGCACAACGCTTTCACACCCTGGTCTCACGACTGCTTCCTTCCAGAGGCGAGGCAGGGACCCTGGTCTTCACGAGCCTGGACAGCGAGAGCGCTGGTCCCCCGCGAGCCGCTGGGGCGGCCCGGAGACACTCCGTCCGTCCGGTCCATGCTGGCCTGGGCTGGCAACTAAAACACACGTGCTGAACAGCTACGGAAGTTGTATTTACTGGGTCCCAGCTGTTTTTCAGGCCCAGTGGGTTGGGGCGACATAACCTGGAGATGACCCAAGACTTTCAGCTACTTTCCCACTTACAGGTTTGCTGTGTGCCTGGTTGAATTAAAAAAAAAACAACAACAAAACCACCTTATGCTTGTTCGGATACCACACCAGCCAGTTTCATTCAAATACGAGCGGGGATCGCTTCTACTTGAAAGTAAAAGCTGGGGAGGAGCAGACCTAGTCAGAGGCTGTGAAGAAGTGACTTCCGCTTTTCAGAAAGCAGACGGGGGAGGAGCGGGCGCGCGCGCACGCACGCCCTGCGCGTGCGGCAGAGGATTTTTTTTTTACGTGCGCGCGCCCGCTCCTTGGTCAGGCCCTAGGCGTAACCGTAAAGGGATCGGGCTTATGTCGTGAAAGGCTGCAAACACGCTCGGGGCTGGTGGACGGCTCCGAGTCCATCTTGTTCCCGGATGTGCGCGTGTGGGGCGTTTCTTCCCCCAGCGGTCCTGAAGCTGAAGACTGAAACCCCTTAAGCGAACCGTGGCACGCCTTTGGCAAGGCCAGGGCGGCCACTGCCGGTCCCAGCCTCCAGGTGAGCGAGTGAGCGTGGACGGCGGGAGATGCGGCCCCTGGACGTGGTGGAGCTGGCGGAGCCCGAGGAGGTGGAGGTGCTGGAGCCCGAGGAGGACTTCGAGCAGTTCCTGCTGCCGGTCATCAGCGAGATGCGCGAGGACATGGCGTCGCTGACGCGCGCGCGCGGGCGGCCGTGCGGGGCCGGGCGGAGCGGCGGCAAGCTGTGGGAGATGGACAATACGCTCATCCAGACGAAGACGCAGGTGGAGGCCTCGGAGGAGAGCGCCCTGAACCACCTGCAGAGCGCGGACGGCGGCGCCGCGGCCGCCAGGGCCGCCAGGGCCGAGAGGGCCGAGGAGAAGGCGCGGGAGGCGGCCAAGATGGCCGAGATGCTGGTGGCGCTGGTGCGGCGGATAGAGAAGGGCGAGTCGTCGTGAGCCGCGGCGCCTGTCTCCCAGCGCCGCGACCGCCCCGTCCTGGGTGACAAAAGCCGAGACCCCATCTGAAACAGAGCAGAGCCGACCCGGGCTGGGGCGGGGCTCGGTGGGGCAGCGCCTGCCCGGCAAGTGCGAGGCCCCGAGTTCCGACCCCAGCACCACCAAAAAACCCCAAAAAACAAAACATTGGAACAGAGTTGGGGTCGGGAGAAGAAATGCGTGCCAGTTTTGTTGGGCCCTTCCCCACGCGGAGTTACGGAAAAGTCAAAGGGAATGTCTTTTTGTGAAACACGCAACTAACAGGAAGGTCGCCCAAGGTAGCACTAAGGGGACTGGGAGGACCACAGAGCAAGGTAGCGAGGGCATCGGGAGAGAGAACGATGCGAAGCCACACGCTTGCTAGAAATCTCCGATCGTTTCTTTAGAAGGCAAGAACTCACGTGTCCTGATGGCAGGTTTCTCCTGTTTGTGCGTTAGGTTCATGGCTAATGGACTGACACCACGAGGGGACCGAGAGGGTTGTCGCTTTCTCTGTTTTTGTGTGCTTTTTCATTCCCTTATAACAGGCTTCTTGTGGTCCGTAGTGGTGACCACGACCTGGGTTTCAGTCCTCAGATGTGTTTGGTTCTGGAAAGATAGCTTGTGGGAGGAATACTCTCAAAAGGAACGCGGCGGCTTAATCAAAAGTTGTTTTCAGTGTGCCCGTTAAACAGCTTTGCTGGTTTTGTTTGTTTTTAAATGTGAGGCATGGCCTTCCTTGCCTTTTGCTGTTATCTGTGTGACTTGACTGATCTCTGGAACTTTGGGACCTGAAGACTTGAGTGTGGCAGTGGAAGGTCCTATCTGCCTGGTTGTAGCTGGGGAGGAGTGTGTGGGTGAGATTGCCGAGTGGAAAGCTGGGAAGAGCCACAAGACAGTTGGAGATGGAAGGTGGCTGTGTACGTGATTTGGAACTTTAGTTCTGTAAGACGGGGAGAGCTATACTTTTTGGTACACTGTCTGACGTGTGTTGTCAACCTGTCAGGTAGGTTTATGTAGACAACCTACCTGATGCTGTACAGCAACAAAGTTTGAATAGGGAAGCAGACTACATGTTACCGTTGTCACACTGTCACATGTCATGGGGCTTCAGAGAAAAGCATCAGAGACAATCTCCAAAGAGCCTGGAGTGGCTGCAGGAAGGAAGAAGCATCATCTGGAAGCTTCTGGTCAGGATAGAGGACTCGAGCAGCATTGGAGGTCAGCATCAAGCTTGCACCAAGTGTTCATTTGCCTTGCAAAACAAAGGCCTAGAGTTTTAGGCCTTAGGTTAAAAAATGAGTTTTCTTCAGATGGCCAAAGCCCTTGTGTGTATTATTAAAAAGTTCATTTCTAAACTCTTGGAAATGGGTGTTCTTCTTTGAGTCCTCAGCGTCAGTGAATGGTTTGTAGTTTCAAGGCTCTCAGTAAGCCTCTACTGTGAGAGGCAGTTGTTTCTGGAAGGTGCCATGGCAGTGAGGTGACAACACACAGTTGTTGAGAAGCGACCTCTCCAAGCCTCCAGCTTTGGCAGCTGAAGTGTGCTCGTCCAAGGGACTAACGGTGAAGGTGAGGCATGGATTACGCCAGGGTATGGGGCAGAAAAGGAGAGAAATGACAGTACGCTGTGCCTGACTGTCTCGGGAGCTCCGGGGAGGGAGTTAGCCCTGCACAGGGGTGTCTGAGAAAGCTTTTCAGAGCCAGTAACTTAAAGGAGGTCTTGAGTGCTGAGTACACCTCCTGTAAGTAGGAAGGAAAACCAAAGCGCCCAGTGTAAGCATAGGGAGATGGCTGCTGAGCTGGTGATTATGGGGGGAGGGAGCTTGAGGGAGATGGGGTGAAAGAGGCAAGCGGGGTTCAGAGGTCAGAGGTCTTTAAAATTATTTTTGGTGGTATTAGGATTGGAACTCAGGGGCTCTACCACTGAGGCACCCCCCCTCCCCCCAGCCCCAAGCCCTTTTTTATTTTTCAGTAAGCATCTGGCCCTTTTTTGTTTTTTGGCCTGTACCCAGCTTCAGGCTGAAATCCTACCTACAGACCTTACCCCCCCTCATGCATCACTGGGACCATAGGCACGCACCACCATTCCTGACTGGTTTGTGGAGATGAGGTCTCATTTTTTTGACTGACTGGCCTCTAAATAGGATTTCCCTAGTCTTTGCATCCTGAGGGGCTGAGATTATAGGTGTGACCCCACACCCAGCCCTCAGGTTTTAAAGGAGTTAAATTCACACCTTCATAAGTTTGCTTTGCAAAACAAAGACCTAGAATTTTAGGCCTTTTGTTAAAAAATTAAGAGTTTTCTTCAGATGGCTAAAGCCTCTGTTAATAAAAGAATCATTATTAACTCCTTTGGAAGTGGGTGTTCTTCTCGGTGCCAAACAGAGTGGACTGCTTAGTTAGAGGTTCTTAACCTTTACTGTGAGGACGGTTTCTTTTTAATTTTTTTATTCATATTTGCGTGCAATGTTTGGGTCATTTCTCCCCTCTTCCCCCACCCCCTCCCCCTTGCTACTTGGCAGAAACTATTTTGCCCTTATCTCTAATTTTGTTGAAGAGAGAGTATAAGCAATAATATGAAGGACCAAGGGTTTTTGCTAGTTGAGATAAGGATAGCTGTACAGGGAGTTGACTCACATTAATTTCCTGTGCGTGTGTGTTACCTTCTAGGTTAATTCTTTTTGATCTCACCTTTTCTCTAGTTCCTGGTCCCCTTTTCCTATTGACCTCAGTTGCTTTTTAAGGTATCTGCTTTAGTTTCTCTGCATTGAAGGCAACAAATGCTAGCTAATTTTTTAGGTGTCTTACCTATCCTCACCCCTCATGTGCTCTCGCTTTTATCACGTGCTCAAAGTCCAATCCCCTTGTTGTGTTTGCCCTTGATCTAATGTCCACATATGAGGGAGAACATACGATTGAAAGGGATAAGAAGGAATGAGATGTCTCAACGGACCCCACCCCCCTGTTGGAGAAACCGGTACCAGATGCCCCGTGTAGATAAGATAAGCAGGGCAGCAGGGCTCGGCTCGGGGATATAGAATGTGAGGAGTGTGAGAAGGTTGCGAAAGGTGACGGGATGTACGTGCAAGATGTGCTCTGCCTGCTTGCTCAATGTTGATAACGAAAATACGCGCGCAACTGCTGACCTTTTACTCTGTGTTACAAAATCATTGGTTAAGTGCTGCGTGGGCTTTTGCTGTAACGGCAGGTAGTGGTCTATATAAGATTTCCCCTAAAGAGGCTCAGGGTCGTGTTTTCCTAACCGGTCCTGCGTGTCCGTGTGGGAGCTCGACCCTGGCTAGCCAGCCCAATAAACTCTGCTTTGTTGATTGCATTCACGCCTGGCTCTCTGTCTCTCGGGGGAATAGGATTCCCATTCCTAACATTTGGAGGTTCCACCGAGATTCCATTTTCTCGAGAGACAGAACTTGCCCGCGAGAAAGCAGGGGCGATCCCAAGTCCTAGGCGTTGGGAGGGGATCCAAGACCCTCATTTGGAGGAACTTGAGTGTTCCATTTGGGCCGCGGCGGGGATTCGGCCAATCCCCAGGGAGTTTTATTCTGAGAATTTCATTAGGAGGACCACAGGGTCCTGCAGGAGAGGTTTCCTCTCATTTGGGCTCGAGCATTTTAGGAATCCTGGCGCCAGGTGAAGAACTAATTGAGCTAGTCGACCAACCACCCGTCAAGTGGACGCCTTTCGGCCTGATATCCAAGTCGGACGGTGAGGAGGTTGAATGGGGTGCGCACCAGTGTGAGAGAAGGACCGGTCCGAGCGAGTGCTGGAGAGTGTTGTGTGTGTGTGGAATTATTGTTGCCTTTACCCTTTTTGTTCTATCTCTCTTGGTGTTTGATTCTCCTTCCACAATGGGACAGGGACAAACAACCCCAAAGTCTTGATCCTTTCTCACTTTTCAGAAGTTAAAGAAAGGGCCTTAAATGCGGGTCTGGTCATCAAGAAAGGTAAGTTCACACCTTTTGTTCTGCAGAGTGGCCCACCTTGGAGTCGGGTGGCCCATTCAAGGTTCCCTCTCCCTAGACATGATCACTAAGGTTAAAGCAGTCATTTTTCGGCCAGGCAATCGAGGCCATCCAGACCAAGTCCCTTACATTATGGTTTGGGAGGATCTGGCGAGGAACCCCCCCCTTGGTTAACAGCTTTTCTGACTCACCCCTCCAGTTCGGCTCCCGGGGCTAAAACCCCAGTCACGCCCGCCTTGGTCATAAAGGAGGAGGAGAAACTTCCTCTTCCCACCCTGATTGGTCCTCAGAATAGGGCACTCCCTTACCATCTCTGGTCTTACCAGAGAGTTCCCCCCTTTACCCATCCCTCGCAGGGGCAGAGGAAGATCGGCCGCCTCCATACGTGACTCCCCCTGGCCAAGCCAGTGCCCCGGAGGAGGAAATTTCCTCATCCTCCTCAACAGGACTGGCAGCAGGAGGAGGAATGGGTCGAAGACTTCGCCCCCGAGGGGTTCGGGAAAGGGAGGGGGAAGACGGGCCCTCCTCATCAACACAGGGGGAGGAAACTGTCCCTACACTTCCAGTCCGGATGGTAGGCCAAGGGGGACCGGGAGGGGGCAACAGTTTCAGTACTGGCCATTCTCCTCCAGTGATCTATATAACTGGAGGACGCAGAACCCGCCCTTTTCGAAGACCCCAAGTGTCTCATAGATCTCCTGGAGTCCATCATGCATACACACCGTCCCACTTGGGATGACTGTCATCAGCTGCTCAATACTCTTTTTACGACGGAGGAACGAGAGCGCATCCTCAACGAAGCAAGAAAAACGTCTTGGGGGATAATGGGAGACCCACAACTCTCCAACCGGCCATAGACGAGGCCTTCCCCCTACGCCGCCCTGATTGGGATTTCGGGACCGCAGAAGGTAGGGAGCGTCTCCGAATCTACCGCCAGACTCTTATGGCCGGTCTCCGAGCGGCCGCTAGAAGGCCCACCAACTTTGCAAAAGTAAAAGCAGTCGTCCAAGGGGAAAACGAAAGCCCAGCCGGTTTCTTAGAGCGCCTCTACGAGGCATACCGTCAGTACACCCCTATTGACCCTGAGGAGGAGCTCCACCGGTCTGCTGTGGTGCTCTCATTCATTAATCAGGCAGCTCCAGACATTAGGAGAAAACTCAATAAACAGGAAAACTTAGGGGAAATGACCATTAGGGAAATGCTACAAATAGCAGAGAAGGTCTTTACCGCTAGGGAAACTCCAGAAGAAAGGGAGGAAAGGCAGAGAAAGGAAGACAGGGAGGCCCAGGAGAAATTGAGAAAGGAGGACAGGGAGTTCCAGGCTAAGGAAAACCGAAAGCAACAAAGAGAAATGGCCCGTATCTTCCTAGCGGGTGTCCGGGACCAACCCAGGGGAGGGGGCCACGCCAGGACCCCGGATAAGGAACACTGTTTTTACTGTAAGGAAACTGGGCATTGGAAGAGAGAATGCCTAAGTTAAAGGGAAGAAGAGGGTTTGGAAGGAGACCGGGGGATAAAAGGGAAAGGGAACGAGCAGTAGAGCAGGCCAGAGTCCTCCTAGCCGGAGAAGAGGACTGAAGGAGACGGGGCTCGGACCCCTCCCCGAGTCTTGGGTAACAGTACATGTGGAGGGGAAGCCGATGGGGTTCATGGTGGATACCGGCGCCCAGTATTCGGTCTTAAACAAGGCACATGGACCTTTGAACAAGGAACGAACAAGTGTCGTTCAGGGGGCCACCGGTACACAGTTATGTACATGGACTACCAAAAGAAGGGTAAACCTTAGGAAAACACCAGGTCACACACTCCTTCCTGGTCGTTCCTGAGAGCCCCGCTCCCCTGCTCGGACGGGACCTACTCACCAAAATAGGGGCCCATATCCATTTTGAGCCAGATGGAATAATTGTGACTGATCGAGAGGGGAGCCCGATACATGTCCTGTCCCTATCATTGGTTGACGAACATCGTCTGTTTGAGAGTCAACAGGAGCCAGAAGGGGACATAGCCCAATGGCTAAAAAGGTTCCCCAAGGCCTGGGCAGAGACTGCGGGAATTGGGCTCGCCAAACACCTCCCTCCCGTAGTTATACAATTGAAGGCTTCTGCTCTTCCCATTCGGGTGAAACAGTATCCTATGCCCGAGGAGGCTCGAAGAGGCATAGCCCCTCATATCCGCAGGCTATTAAAGGAAGGAGTACTGCGGCCTTGTCGGTCTGCCTGGAATACACCTCTGCTCCCCGTCCAAAAGCCAGGAAGCAAGGACTATAGGCCTGTGCAAGACCTGAAAGGTAAACGAGCGGACGGAGGACATTCATCCCACCGTTCCGAATCCCTATACCTTGCTCAGCCACCTACCCCCTCGCAAGTGTGGTATACAACCCTTGATTTGAAAGATGCTTTCTTCAGCATTCCATTGTCAGAAATTAGCCAGCCGCTATTTGCTTTCGAGTGGCACGAGGAATGGGGGCCAATCTGGACAGCTTACTTGGACCAGACTGCCGCAAGGATTTAAAAATTCTCCCACCCTGTTTAACGAGGCCCTGAGCCAGGACCTGGAACCCTTTCGCCGGAGCCACCCAGTCACTCTATTACAGTATGTTGATGATTTACTGTTAGCGGCAGAAACCCGAGAGGAATGCAACGAGGCTACTGAACACCTGCTAACGGAATTAGGTGAGCTGGGATATCGGGCGAGTGCCAAGAAAACCCACATCTGTAAAAGGTCAGTGACATATCTGGGTTATCGGATCGCAGATGGGGCAAGATGGCTGACTGATGCCATGAAACAGACTATTTTGGCTATCCCATCCCCACATCCAC